CGAGGGATAGGCGAAGAAGTTCATTCGTACGGATAGACTGGCTCCCGACTTCATCGGGACGAAGGTACTCAATTAGACAGAACAGGATCTGGCGGCTTTTCAGCCTCGTTCCCCTTTTTACCTGAGCCTCTTCAGTCAGCCTGCTGATCTTGGCAACTATAGGTTTCGATGTGATGCACTTTCTCAGTGCAGCATTGAACCTATTGTCAAGGATCGGGTAGAGGCACTCCTCATCAAGTTCCTCTATTGCGCTGGCGTTCTCGACACTCATGACCCAAGACATGGCATATGGCGAGTCATAGCTGAATGCGTTGCTCACGATTTCTCTCGTGGAAATGATCCAGTCTCGCAACTCATGCGGTGCGGGCTCTTTTTCGAGCTCTATGTTGGCGCACTTGTTCGCCTCAGATGGCAACGAAGTTAAGGGCGGTCGAGTAGCCTGCCCAAAAACGTGGGGAGGTAGAACGCCGTCTCTGCCAATGGATATGGCACAAAGAGAGCAACTCCCGGACGATGGCGGGCAGCACGCGGCACACAGAGAAGTGCGGCACAACGAACAAGTTTGGAAGCATGGAGGTGTCCCGGGGATGCTGGTCTTGACATTTATGTTGCATCGAGGGCAGACCCTCTCCTCAGCGGAAGATCGGCGAAGATCGGGAGCTCCAATACCGCCGACGCCACCGGCGCCATGCGCACCCTTACCGAGTCCTGGTGGAAGAGAGAAACCAGTCGGCCCGCCAGAGTTATCCTGTACTCCGTGGTGAGGCTGTGGATTCTGCTGATTTGTCACAGCAGCGTCAGGTCCGTACCTCCCGCGAATGACTGCCTGAGACGTTCCATGCTCAACCTGACCGGTGAAAATCCCCCCTGTAGGGGAACATCCGGGATACGTGTTGATGGTCCCCCTCGGAACTGCTCGCCCGACTACGGGCGAAGACATCGCCCTTGGTGGCATTGGCCCGGCAGCTCCGGCGTGGGAACAGGAACCAGAGTTCCCTTGGTGCGGTTCAGGACTCCGATGTGACGGATCTCCACGTGATGGCCCGGATCCAGGATCAGGAGCAGTGCCATCCCGCTGATTATGATCAGGAATGCAATCAGGTCCTCCAGGCCCCGCACTGGGACCGCGATGCTTAGTTTTCCCGTCGGGATCAGCTCTCAGACAACCGAGGCAAATAGGTCGAACACTCGACCCAAAACGGCGCACATCGTCAGGTGAAGCGATGTGTTGATCGCAGTACTCGTCCTTGCATATGAGACACCTCACAAGTCCATGTCTCCCCCCTCTTCCTCTGCATGCGCGGCATCTAGGAAACTGATCGCTGCACTTGAAACACGAGTTACAATCATGGTCAAAGCAGTCTTCGCAGACTGACTTGCCGCAGCTTCGGCATGGATAGCGAGGTTCCCGATGCTGTGGATGCCCGGAAGATGGGGGCTGATGGTGACGGTGGGGGTGGCCCTGAAGGAGGTGGAGGTGGAGGAGGCCTAGCCGAGCTGACGGTGCGAGCATCACGAGAAGGAGAACCTCTAGGAGCCCTTCCCTGGGTTAAGGGATCAGTGTCTCCAGATTTCTCCCATCGTCCCGTTCCGGCGGTCGAAGCAGCGCCAGCACTTGAAGATCCGCAGGCAGCAAGAGGTTGCTCCCTCAACTCAACGATCTGCATGTTAATCTCATTGACCCTCAGCACAAGCTTCATAAACTGCTCTTGCATGTCCCTCGGATTGGGGCCCAAGCTTTTGTCATGAAGGTCCTTGACGCACCTAGCAATACGGGACAATTGAAGCTTGAACTCTTCCTGTTTCTGTGAGTTCTCATTGAGAGCTCCGGACATCCTATCACTGAACTGCTTCAGGTCGGTCGCAGGAACGAGCTGCTGGATATACGTCTCGACGTTCCCACGGATGGTTCTTTCCCTTGAGATGGTTCCCTCAATGTCGATGACACTGCGAGAGTTCGCCTCAACTTCGTCCTTGATTTTCCGAACCTCAGCCTCAAGGGCCCCGATCTCAGAGAACCTAAGGAGCTGGACCTTGACGTTCTCAAGTGATTCGGCCTGCTCGCGAAGTTCAGCAGCGGATATGACGATCGAGTCAGACCTCTCATCATACATCTTGAAACGCTCATTCATCTCCTTCTCGCTTCGGGCGACCCACTCGTGGAAATCACGGAACTTGGCCTCGTGTTTTGAGAGAGTTCCGGCAACGGCAGAGAAAGATGATTCAACCTTCTTCTCGAAGGCGTCAACACGGTTATTGATCTTCTTGATCTCACCGACGCAAGCGTTGATATCATCCCTACATGAACGAATCTCAGTTCTGCATCCCTGGATTTCGGCCTTGCACCCCTTGACCTCGTTGTGGATCGCGAGAAGCAGTCGTTGAAGCTCAGATGCAACAGGATGGCCGCCACTTGTGGAAGCAGACGGAGCAGGACGACTATCAGCGTCATGATCTCCGCGCCTATTTTCTTCCCTGTCGGGAGTGCAGCCCGGAGTTCCAATTTGAAAGAATGCGGGGACGAGGGAGTTGTTGACCGGTTGATTTGAAGGAAGCCCTCCATGTCCAGGAGCAACAGTGCTAAGTCCAGGTCTCCGATTCCTGGGCGTAGAGTTAATCCCGTCATCAGTCTCCTTCTCAGACATCGGGGCATTGGAGCTGAGCCCAGACCCCGCAGAATGGATAGGAACGTCAATAGGATCGTGATGAGCTGGGGGATTAGATCGCAATCGCAGAGCAGCTTCACGTCTCTCGGGTGATTCAGAGCTCCTCTTTGTGGCTCGTGAGTCAGTGCCGGTTTGTCCCGACATGTTATCAAAAGATGACGACCCGCGAAGTTGAGCTTGATCTGGATCAGGTTGAGTGAGATCAAGCCGTTGAGCAACGTCACCAATGAGTGGCTTAGGGGAAAGTACTTTGGCAACGCGGCTCGGCGGGAGCGATGTCGTTCGTCTCTCTGGTGTGACCTCGGCCTCATCGATTACATCAAGGATCCCAGGGATGGTTTCATCATCTTCATTTCCTCTCCTGGGTGGCTGATGGAAGGGGATGTCGAGGAGGTCGAAGGGAGTAGAGCCAATACCAGGTGTATCCTGCTCGGATCCATCACTGGTACGGTGGCTGGACTGCTCCTCGAGGTCGATGACGTCGGGGGCGGACTCTTTTCGAGTCTGACGCCGATTGAACGCCGCGAATAGACCGGCATGGCTTCTTGATGAAGTGGAGGAAGGATTTGGGCCTGCTGTTTCGCGGCCCGCGTCCGATCGATCAGTACCTGATGCCCGATTTGGCGGATTTGAGCCCGCGTTGTAGCGGTTCGCATCCCGACCTCGGGTACCTGAGGAAAGCGGTGGATTCGGACCAGCGTTGTAGCGGTCCGCATTCCGGTCGCGGGTACCTGACAGGTGAGATGATACTGCGTCAGGAATGAAGTCCATATCCGCCGGACTGGGGTGATCGTGAATGATGTCAATGTCGGATGAACCTGAGACGGGAGGAAGGCCAGCTATTTGCGGCCAATCCTCAATCGCCCGTTTGCCCACCTCGGGTTGGGCCGAACCTGCAACATGAGAAGGGGAGAAATCTTCAATGGGGTCATTTTCTCCATCATGAGGAAAACCCTGAGTAGGCTCATGTGTAGGCAGGGCATCAAAAGATCTGTCAACTCGGGGATTGAAAATCCAGATTCCCAACCGATATGGGGGCACCCGAGTTGAAGTCGAGCCGACCGAAATCAGGCGGTGTAGCCTGCGATCCACTGCCGAGGAGCTGGTCAAACTGATCCCATGTAAGGGACCATGATTGAGCCGGCTCCGGATGAGCAGCATGATGGACAGCCCGGTCCTCGATCTGGAGCGCCACGAACGGAACAGTAGGCGAAATCGATGAGGGCACCTGATTTGGAGGAACCTCAGCCTCTTCTAGAGGGGGTCCGTCCTCGATCTGGAGCACTGCCGCCGGGATAGGGGCCTCCGCATCCTCATCAAACACAACCTGAGAAAGGATCCAATCGTCCGTGATCACCCCGGGATTGGGCTCTGCGCCCACCATCGGGGGAATGGGCCACAGCCGGCTGTCTAAGCCGGGGGCAGCAGGCGCGGCGTTGCCGCGAAGGGCGTTGGCCTCGTCGTCCACGAAGCCCGGCCCACGATGAGAAGCTCCGGGGGACGCCATTGCTCGTACAAGTAGGCGATGGGAGCAGGTAGCGGGTCACGTCCCGCAACCGGATCACCAGCCCCAGCTTCTAGCTGGTACGGCTGATAACCTGCGGTTTTGGGCGTCCAGGGAAGCAAATGAGCACAAAGTAGATCACGATGTACCCAAAGCACCCGGAAACACAACTGGGGTGAAGCTGTGGATGATGACCGGGTTGAGGAAGTGACGGTTGACAAAGGAGAAGTATGGGGATATTTGAAATCAAGTTGAAGAGGATTAAGTTCAATACCAAGCCCAAGTAGAACAGCGCGACCCACCGAGCACCTCCTACACCCAGCCGCCCGCGGCCCCGACCCTTTTCGGCTCGAGGACGAAGAAGGCTGCCAGTGAATGGCGCTCGAGCGTGAGTCCTATTCCCGCTTGACGGGAGGTAAAAACTTGAGCCAAACGGCCATTCGGCCGTTTTGCCATATGAAGAAACAACACGTGAACAAAACACACTATCCAGAAGCAGGCCCGCTCTTCTAGGACACCCCCACATCTAGTTGTGCATTCATGTATCCGTTTGTCTGCTGCTGCGTCTGACTGTCCAAAGTCACCTTGCCTTTGTCTCCAATTTCTTGCAATTCATAGGTAGCCTCCCCTCAAAACAGGTCCAGGTGTTTGCTTCGTTCCCTTAAAAACACGGCCCCCCAATTTGTCTTTTGTTCTACAATGTGGAAGAAGCAACTTTTTACTTCTGTAATAGATTCATTTTTCTCCAGTATGTCACAAGTACAGTGCCGAAACTACCGAGACTCAAACATGACCCGCCCCATCATCCGTAAATTGCAAAAGCGGCCAACCTCCAACAGGTCCTTGTCGTGACTACCTTTGTGGCGACACCTCAGCGGTCAACATAGACATGAGTTGTTGCGGCACAGTTGGCGGTGAGCTACCCATGTCCCTCAAGGGCTACTGGATTTACATTTTGAGCAAACCTCGCCTCCAATGGTCTTGAGGTCTACCCTGAAGCATAAGCCTCATTCCTCATTAACGTGTCATCCGGTGTGAAGGGCCCTGTAGCTGCGATATGGCCGAAGCAAAAGCCGAGGAGAACAGATGTCATGTAGTTCCTGAAAGAAGGTCTCTGAACGAGAAACAAATCCGGCATGCGCTGCCATAGAGCAAGGAAGGCTGCCAAACATATTCAGTAGAGCGACAACCATAGCAGCCCAAACGCACACACACACACATACTGAACTTGCATTTGTTCATGCCAAGATCTTGCAGGCGGGTCTGCCCTGTCTATGAACCACGCACCAAAAGGGGTAGTTTCCAATTTAAGGACACCGCTTCCCTGGCCAAGGATCCTTTTCAGAAACTTGATCCCAAGAAACTCATTCCTGATTAAAATTGATTAAATGTCTGAAAAGAGCTCGTGAAAATGAGACCAGAGCACCCATCCAAGTTTGGACCTCAGGAGGGCGCCAGTCCAAAGACGGGCTCCTGGACCGCCGCCGGCTCCGGCTCCGACTTCGGCTTTTCCTCAGGCAGCTCTGATAGGATTCGGGATTGGCAAACCTGCCACTTCCCCCAAGCCAAAACCCATCTCCAGTCTCTTTAAGCGCCACTGAAAAGCCAGATGATAGCTGCCAGTCATGTCCATATACGTCAAGAACCAGCAACAAACCATGCCGCAAGCAAACAAAGGTGTTTGAAACATTAAAAAAGGCTTTGATCAGAACCCTTGTTCTCAGTTGCATGCTGTTTGGTACTTGTATTACCAGCTTTGAGGTTCATTTGCTGTGTCGGTATGTTGCTACTGCAGTGCGGCTAGCATAAGCAGGGCCCCGAGAGTACCTAAGCATGTCCTTGAGTATCGCAA